AAAAAAAATACTTAATCGACAATTGTCACAACCATCGTGTAAACCATCACCACAACCATCGTATAAACTATCGTTGGGACTATTGTATGAACCATTGCCAGGATAATTGTATGAACCATCACCGAGACAATTGCATGAATCATCGCCGGAACTATTGCCAGAAGTATTGCATGAATCATCGCTGGAAACATTGCATGAAGCATCACCGGGAACATTGCATGAAGCATTGCCAGGAATGTTGCATGAAGCATCGCCAGGAACATTGCATGAAGCATCACCGGGAACATTGTATGAAGCATCGCCAGGAACGTTACATAAATCATCTTTGGTACCATCAAAAAAATGACCATTATGGTCACAACATATTTTGAAAAAACTGTATGCACTATTTAAGCCGCCTTATAGAAAATCGCAAGACCAACCTTCGTGTGTTTCTCAAATACCACAAAGAAAATCATCACGTATTCCTAGACTTGCTTCCGCGGAAACTTCAGTACAATCAAGATCGGCTTTAAATGATATTTCTAATCTTTTTTCACCTGTAACTTACCAAGACATTAAGGAGTTCAATGATAGTAATTCAAATGAAAAAGAAATTCACTATCATTTTCATTATCATTTTTAATTATTTGCATGTTTTTTATTTGAATAATGTATATTTTTATTTGAATAAATAAAGCTGTTTTTAAAAACAAATCCTCTAGCAAATGACAATTTTAAAAAACCAAAACTAATAAAGCTCTTCATATAGCACACAACAATTTAAAGTACACAATTTATGACAATTTTAAAAGACCCGAACTAATAAAGTATTTCATAGTACACGACAATTTAAAACAATTTATGACAAGGTTATTCACATTGGTCTACATGAAAATCATGTGATTTTCATATAGACCGATGAAATAACCTTGTCAAAAATGCATGGGTTGTTACATAGTACCCATGGAATAAGTATATAATATAATTAATACATTCATTTAGTAACTAGAATAAACTTACTTTTAAATATCGAGAAAAATACTTATATTCAATAAAAAATGTTTCTCTTTTTAGTAAATTTTCCATTTTCATTTAACCGGATCGCAGAAAAATACTTCAAGTGTTAATTTTTGTCAGTTAAGTAAAATCTATTCAAATTTTTTTATATCTAGCGCTTTCAGGTTCAAATACAATACAGCAATAACGATAATGTAATTGTAAAAGTTTGTATTTCTGCATGACAGTTGTAGCACAAACAAATTTGTACAATGTAAATCATCCGTCGGAAGTCACGTGAACGGAAAATCGATCCTGCGCCCTGGCAAATTCAGTTAATTCATGGGTACGAGGCATTCTAACTAAAAATGTTCTACGTCCTCCAAAACCCTTCCCAAATCTTAATACTAACCTAAATACTAACCATAATGTGAAATTTTGTGTTAAAAATTATATATATAAAACTTAGAAAACATAATAAAAACATATAATAGGTGCCAAATCACCATAGGTGCGTTTTATAACAAATAATGACTAATATTAACGAACTATTAGTTAGATTTCTTATTCAGATTGATGATAACTATTCAATGATAAAGAATGATAAAGATCAGGGGAAAATTTTGTCGATAATTCTTACCCGATTCTTAATATCAAAATAATTCTGATCCAGTCTTAATTGCTTCACTTTAAATGCCCTTCCAAATAAGGAAATCGATTCGTTAACATTTACTCTTAAATTGATTACCAAATTAACTAACAAGATATTGTACATCAAACACGTTTATATTGAACGTTTATATTGAAAAGGATAGTGCCATTAACTTCTTTATACCATGTAGTAGTAATTGCCACCAAACAGCCTATTTGACTTTATTTTTATTTGATTTCCTGCCGAATAATGCAATTTTCCTTTTTTCATTTATATATATAATCATTTTTTATTTGGAAAGGCATTTAAAGGGAAGCAGCTGAAATAAAATTAGGGTCAGTGTTGTTCTAAAGTTAAGATTTGGGTAAGTGTTATAGATAAACTTGTTCTCCCGACATTTATCAGTAAAACAAGTTTTAGACATCGCATAATCGATCGATCTTGCTTTTGTTTGTTTTGTAAAATTGATGTGGATCTCCCGATAAGGAGATTAAATATCTAGTCTGATATTAATCATACTAATAGCACAATTATTGGTGCAGATTATGAATCCAAAACTCGTTCATTTCAGGTGTTAGCTGCAATACAACTGTCATTATTATTACACATTCTATTTTAAACCTGGATTTGTATTTACCTGATAGTGAACGGAGAATCAGGTAATTTGTAATCTACAATACTGATTGATATCTT